GTTATCAGCACAGAGAGGGTAGAAATTCTCCTTCTTCCGCCTTATTTTAAAATTCAATCACTGGGGAGTCTTTTTACTCTGTTCTCTGCTTCTAACACAAATTGAGCTGCTAAGCTTTCAACTCCCTGTTTTCCCCATCCACTCCCAACCATGTCTTGGGCACGCAACCCGGTCTATGAGCCCTGTGTCTGCACCTGTAAGAGGCAGCTAAAAGTACTATCGGCCGTGTATTGGTCAATTCCTGGCAGAAAGAAAATGTTCTATTCAGCAAATGCTAACCATTATTATTACCCAAAGCCATTTTGTAACTGGGAAGCAAGGGGAGGAAGGGCCAGTCAGGGAAGAAAAGACAAGGGAGGTAAATGTGGAACTTTTTCTCTGGACATGGGAGTTTTTAAAAAACCAGTGCATGTTTATTCAAACAGCACTTGGATTAGTGAGAGTCTAAGCACCCAGCACCTTGCACAGGTTTTTGTTATTTTTCATCTCTGAATACGAGAGACCAAGTAAAACCAGGGTCAGGCCAAGCATCAGGAAATCCAAGGCTGAATAAAGCCTGATATACAGCAACTGGACTGAGGGGATTAAAAAGAAAAGCATCAGCAGTGTGAAACCTCCCTTGTCAGCACAGGAAGACTTCGGAGTACAGATTACTCTTCATCCATCCACTTGGGAACGGGACAGGCCACGTGGTCTGGCCAAGGAGGCTGGAGCCTATCTTTATTCTTAAAATTCTAGAGCAGACAGGACCACGCTGAGGACAAACATCCTTTTGCCTTCTTTGGCATTGACCAGAGGGTCCTTGTAATGGGTTTAGCTATCTCAAGAGGAACCTGAGGCTTTAACCAAGAATTGGAAGATGCCAGAAATTGATGACTCCGGAGAAAACCAGAACTGGACCCCGGGCTCCTTCTCTTCCTCCCGAGGTCCCCCTCGCCCATCACTGTTGCAGGTGTGCCCGTGCTTAGTGGTAACAGGAAAGAAAAAAAAAAAATCACTCAACTCTTTTTCTTTCAGAAAACAAGAGGCAGGTGTTCACATGTTCAAAATAAAAAAAGTTCCCCCAGGTACATAAAGTGAGAAGTGGCCAGGTCTCTACCAGGTTTGTTTTTTGTTTTTTTTTTTTTGAGGGGATGGGGTGGGGACAGAGGAAACACACAGAAGGTACATTAGAAGGGCAAAGGCAAGGCATTAAACGGGAGACTTCTTAGTCAAAGGAATTGCTCTCGTACAATATCCACCCATCTGGTGAAAATAAGGAAACCACCAAAGGTTTTCTGTTTGCCTTCTTAAAGCATTGTATGTGTCTGTGTGCATTGAAATCTGCTGTGGGGGCACCAGGGCTTACCAAAAGGAGAGAATTGCACAATTTTTCTAAACTGGACAGGTCAGATGACCCTTTGCCACCTCCTCTGCCTCCCTGAAGTTTGTCATCTGTTACAAATACACACCTGTGTGGGGAAGAGGTGGCAGCACCTGGTAGAATTCAGCTAGATAAGAAAGTGAAGCTCACCTCCAGTGGCTTGTCAGTGTGTCCTAGAAGCAGAACGAGGGACTGTTCTGGCACAAAGAGCCCCTTCTCTGCCCCTTTGTCCTGCCAGAGCTGGGGTACGCATTCCCACTTGATGACAAACTGACAAATTCAGAGTCTTGCTGGATGAGGGTGTTGGGGTGTGAACACAAACACACGAGAAACGGCAGTCCTGTGTATATTTAACAATATATATTTATATATATTTTCTAGATCAGTACATTCAGTTTTTAACTTGTTTTTTTCTTCACAAACAGAAGAACTCTTACAATAGTAGACTTTCTAAAATAAATACTATTAAAATAGAGCTTCAAAATAAATATTCTATACAAAGGAAACCTTCTGTGGTAACTTTTGATGTGGGGTGAGACGGGGCTACAGTGAAGAGGGAACAGGAAGGAGGAATGTGATGGGGTGGGAACCTCGGAACAGCTTTTTCTGTTTGTAACACGAAACCAAACTGGGGGGCCGTGAGAAGAGAAAGCAAGGTAGGACAGACACCACACGGAGTTACCCACAGCAAACACGGCAGCGCAAGATTTGTCATCAACTGTCACAGTAAGCAGAGGGCATGGAAATGCTTACCGAAGGCATGAACCAGAAGGCCGGTGAAGCCTGGGAGATGCCCTAGTGAATTGTACAGTGCAAAGTCATGCTGCCCCAACCCCATCAGCCATCTCCTGGGGCAGCGGGGGAGACTATGAAACTTCGAGGTGATGGAAACGGGGTGTTTGCTCCCGACCAATACCTTCCATGTTGTGCAAACTTGGGCCAGTCATGATCTAACTGGGCCCCACTCAGCGTACATTGGGGACCCACGCAGACTCCACAGCGCTGAAGAACTAGACGTGTCACATGAAGGTCTTTCACTTCTGTTGGCTGTGAAGGGGCCCACACCAGCAGCAGGGATTGGTATTCACCTCCTTCCAGCGAGGGACTGTGAGAAGCCTTGGTTGCACCCCGACATCCATCCGGAAGGTCTTGGGCTATCCTAGAGCCAGTTCTTAGGGTGCTTCTTGGAGTGCTGGGCCTTCACAAACCCACCCTCAGGGTGGGAGCAGCCACGACCTACTGGGACATGTGTCCTCGACCCAGGCTTGTGGACCCTACCCCCAGTTCCAGGCAGAACCACCACCCACCCCAGGCTGAACAGAAATGGGAACTAGCTGGCTCTTTAAAAAAAAAGGTTAAAATGAGGCATAATCCAGCCAAGGAAGCTACTGCCGATGGAAACACAATCAGCCAGAGCACCCAGAGAAATGTGTCGTGTTTCTGAGATTTCAGTCCCTCAGTGGCCCTTGACTGGCCCCCAGGACCCATGGGCAAGCCAGTTTTGTTTTTTTGCCAAGAAGCTGAGAAAAACATGCTGAGGGCTTGCCCTGCAACAGAGCTGGGAGAACCAGAGCTGCTTCACTGCTTCCCTTTACCACTGAGCACAGGGGACACCGGGAGCTCGGCACACATCCATCTAGCAGGTTAAATGCAAACCAAAAAGAACAAGGCAAAACAGGAGGAAGAAAAAAAGAAAAAAGGAAACCCAAACCAGAAAAATCCGTGTTTACAACTATGTACACAAAGTCAGGGTTCATCAGGGGTCAGGAGGCTGTTTGTCAGGAAACAGGGTCTGTGTAGATAAGAGGGTCGGTGGGGTAGGTGTGTAGTGTGTGTGTGTGTGTGTGTGTGTACACAGCTTATGTAAATCAATTCTCCACAGAACGGGTGTGTACAACACCAAGATCACCAAAGTGCAACTTGCCACTGGGTCAAGTTTTCCATGGAGACAATTGAGAGGGGCCCTGGGAAAAGTTCTGAGGCCTTGCCAAGAGTGGACGCGTGCCCTTCATTTTGGGGGTAACCTCTGCACGCCGAGGAAAACGTCTCCAGCCCCTTCAGTACACATCTGATACATTCAATTAAGAGTGAGTGGTTGGCTGAATGTGTTTTTCCTACCATTCCCTCCTATTTGTGCAAGATGGCAAGGGTAGCTACATGAATCAGCCTTAGAAAACGCAGATGCAATATTTCATACTTCTTACAAGCCAGCAAATGTTATATAAATAAAGCCTAAAATAATAAGACCCTCCCCTCCTTTCCTCCAATCAATAAATACCTACGGTTACGATTAACTTATTCTAAATCATAAGATGTTACTACTAGTCTTCAAGAAGGAAAAAAAAGTCCTTGAGCATTGGGTGCATGCCAATCACAGCTACCTGCCTCTTTGCCTCCATCCTGGAGGCAGTTCTGTTCCTAAAGAACAAACTGGAAATGCTACACAAGGTCTGCCTAATGCACTTCCAGTTTCACCTGGGATAGCTTTTCTGACCCAGGCCACCTCCTCTCATGGGGTGGGACGACACACAGAATATCACACGAGGCGAAAACCCCTGCACAACAGCTGGGGAGGAAGGACCAGACACAATATAGCTTTTGCATGCAACAAGTACCTACCCACTGGACGTGCTGCACTTTTGAGTCCTTTAGCACCTTGAGAGAAAGAGTTGCTACGTCTTTGGGGGCTGTTGGGAGGGGGCGGGTGGTGTGGCCACACACAGAAGCAGGGCTCAATCCCAAGAAGCCCCTGGAGAATTCCCACCCCCCCCCCTTGCTCTTACTCCCCCGCCAGGGCTTCCTAACACTAAAATAGACTCTTTTTTCATCATCTGTCTATTTACATTAAAGATACAGACACATCACTGTACACAAAAGGCTATGACAGCAAGCAGCAGACTCAGAAGAGGAGCCCACACCCAGCTTGGCTCTGTCACTCTGCCAACAGGTGTTGCCTCTCTTCTTTGCTGTTAAAATCCTCTTCTTGGTGGGAAGGGGGATTGTGTTCCTTGAGGTTACTCGCCCCCCAGATTTTGAAATCAGCCCTTCCTGGGGGGTGGCCCAAAAGGAAGCAAGTGTTTCATTATTATTTTTTTTAAAACACCGTTATAGCATCTGGTTTAATTGTTCTATAAAAACATAATGACTGGATCCAGAGACCACAGCCTCAGACTCATTGGCAAAATGATATTTGGTCTCGCATGTGCCGCCCCGGCCTTCTCTACCCATCAAATTTCTGGAAAGGATTTGGGTAGAGAGAACTCGGGGCACGTAGTGGCAGGTGAGTCTGTGACTCGGTAAGAACCGAAGGACGGTGTTATGGGCGGAACACCCCCGAGAGTTAGTGATGAAGCTGGAAGGGAGAACTGCACGGTGTAGTGGCTCCTAAATCCATTTGCAGCTCCAGGGAGGCAGACTGGGGAATGAGCCTCTGCTCGTAGGGGGGGGGTCCCAAGTATATACAACAGGGATTGCCAGGGTCTTCGCGTTCCCCAGGGTGTTGGGGCAACCTGGGGTTGGGGGGGGAGGAGCAGTACGGACGTCAGGGTTCCAAGGGTCTTCTCCAAAGGTCCCCTGGTCCTGCAGTTAACGATTCCTCCCCGGCAGCCAAAGAGAAGGGAAGGGCGGGCAGAGAGGGGGGAGGAGGGAGCGGGAAGGCGGTTCAAGCAGCTGCAACTTCCAGATATGTGCCCCCATCTGTGTTGGGTCTTCTGAAAAAGAACGCCCCCCATCCCCTGCCACACCATGCCCCTGCCACAGAGGTTCCAGGGCCCGGAAAAAAGAAAACCGAAACACAACCCCAAGTGCTTCTTCATCCCTTCGGGGAAGAGAGGGAGGGAGGGCGGGCAGCAGTGGTCCCCACGGCTTCAGAAGCGGAGGGTGGGGAGTGGGCAGCCCGGCAAGGTCAGCCTCGGGACACTAAAACCTCTGGCCTTGCTGTGGTCTTCTCAGGTGTCAGAAGGGAACCAGGTTTTCAGGGGGAGTGCGGGGGCTTCGACCCCAAGTGTCAGAAGGGCTTGTCGGGTCTGCTGGCCTTGGCGTCCCCGGCGGCCGCCTTGCAGATGACGCTGTTCGTGTGCTTGCAGCGGCACCCAGGGCGGCGCAGGCGGTCGTAGGCGCGCTGGGCCAGCTTCACGCAGCCGGTGGCCGGCAGGTAGCAGAGCAGGCACGGCAGCACCAGGGACAGGGCGCCCATGAAGGACCAGCGGGCGCAGCAGTTTGAGTGCGAGCAGGAGCACGGGTGGTCGGCGCAGGAGCCCTCGTCATCCTCATTGGTGCAGTGGTAGAAGACGCCTTGCACCAGGCACATGCAGGTGCCGTAGTTGACCAGGGTCTGGGCCGAGCACAGGCATTCCTGGTTGCAGACCCAGCAGGAGGGCAGTGTCCGGGGGGATGCGCACTCCTTGCACTTACACTTCCCACAGGCCTCGCACAACAAGAAGTGCTTGTCCAGCTCAGGGGGTACCGCCGGGCCCTTGAGGTCCAGGGGCTTGCAGTGGACCACCTTGGGCTGGATGCGCACAGCCCTCGGGGAGGCCTGATCAGCCACGGGTGGCGGTGCCATGTGGTCTAAGAGCCGCTGGTCAGAAGACGTGCTGCTGCTGCTGCTGACGGAGCTGGGGCGCCCGCTGAAGGAGATCCAGTGGTGGGTGACATCCTGGTCACAGCGGGCAGGCGGCGGGGCCAACTCTGGGGCCCCGCCCCGGGTCCGCTTGGGGCCAACAGGGGGCACCAGGCCAGGGTTGTCTATGTAGTCATTCTCCACGTGGCAGGTCTTCATCTGGTCGATGGGGAGGATGGTGAGTGGGTGCTGGAGGCGGCTGTGGGGCATACGGCTGTCAAGTAGGGGCTGGACCATGACTGAGCTGGGAGTCAAGGGGGCGCTCTGTGGGATCGGGGGCTCCATGGGGCTGGAGGTCCTGGACTGTGCAGAGGAACAGGCTTCTAGGGGCCCTGGGTGGGGGGAGGTGGGGAAAAGGAAGAGAGAGTGGATTCCAGGCATCAGTACTTGGCCTGTTAACACCCCCACCCCCCCCTCAGGTCCTCGGGAGTACAAATGAAATGGAAACTGGATTCTCTTGAGTGGACTCTCCAGCATCGAGGCTTAGATGATTAATAATAACAATTAATAGTGAGTGGTAGAAACAACACTTATTCAGCACTTAATGAGCCACACACTCTGCTAAGCACCAGATATATTACGTCATTGACACGTCACTCTAAAACCTAACTACTATGATTATCCCTTCTGTAGTTACAGAAAACGAAGGTTCAAAATAACTTGTCCAAAGGCACACAAAACTATCAACAGAACTCAGCAGGAGTTCAAACCTAGCCCGACCAACTCATTCTTGCAATGGCTGTGAAATATGCTCTATTTTTAAGATAGACAGCTCAGTGTTATAAACACAGGCTCTGGAATCAGATCCAAGTTTGAATTCTCACCCCCTGCCTAACAATGTTGCCATAAATAAGGTTCTGTAACCTTTATGCCTGCCTTAGTTTTGTCATCTCTAAAATGGGTTCTTGTAGGGCGCCTGGGTGGCTCAGTTGGTTGAGCGACTGCCTTTGGCTCAGGTCATGATCCTGGAGTCCCGGGATCGAGTCCCGCATCGGGCTCCCTGCTCAGCAGGGAGTCTGCTTCTCCCTCTGACCCTCTTCCCTCTCGTGCTATCTCTCAAATAAATAAATAAATAAAATCTTTAAAAAAAAAAACAAAAAACAAAAAAAAAAAATAAAATGGGTTCTTGTGAGGATTAAATGAGAAAATGCTATCTAGTACCTAGCATCTTGCCTGCCAGTAATCTTGTCACTATTCCAGAGAGCGTCAGCTTAGATTTCCTGAACACCCAAAGGACTGTGTGCCAGGCATTGTGCTGAGGATATAGTGACCATGACAGATAGCCCCTGTAAGCTCCCATGGAGTGTATCAGCTGGATAAACAAGTCTTTATTTCACACAGTCACAAGAGAAGGAAGGGCTGTACGGGATACCTGCACATCCAGGATATTAACTTAGTACCACCACTTCTAAGAGCAGCAACCTCCAGTGGCTAATAACCCCTGGCTAGGAGCACTTCTGACAACTTGGATGGGAAATCCTCTCGAGGGGCACTCACATCACCCATTTCCAAGTGCTGAGCTGAACATTCAGCCTAAATGCTATTTACTAGAATAGCTAAGCCGACTCTGGATCAGTTTCTAATTTCACCAAGAGAGTGCAATTTTAAGTTGGAATCCCGCCAGAGATTCAACTGCGGTGCCTGACACGGAACCCCAGGAAGTCACTTAAATCAAAGAGCGGAAACGACTTGGTTCAAATTTAGAAAGTGCACATTGTTTTCTATTAGAAGTGCCATTTCCTCGCCTGCTGACCTTTACATTCGGAATTCAGCTGGAGATCAATTTAAAGAAATAGCAGCAGAAGGCCAAGACCTCTGCCCAAGGGGACACAATTTGGAATCCAAGAGAAAGATTAGACTCTGGGAAGAGTCCACTAGGGGGTAGGGGTGTGAGACAGAACAAGGTGCGGGTAGAAGGGAAAGATAATGGTCTTATAAAAAAAAAAAAACAACAAAAAAACAGACCACTGAATAAATGTGTTATGGGGTAGAGTTTGGTAAATGCCTTTTCATGATGCTAATGATGTACTCATTAGGAGAGCAGTCCCTGTGCCTCTGCTGTGAGGTTCATCTGGCCTAAGAGGTAATGCTAAGAAGAGGGCGGGGGTTGACAGGTTTCCATTTCCAGTTAACCCCCTGCCCCTCCAGACTGGGTACACAGTTGGCCTATCCCAGTACTCTAATCACGGGAATGACACCTTGCCCCAGGTAACTCATTCATACTTATCAATGTCTACACTGAGGAATGGTGGTGGTGGGGGGGGCAGGCATTCAGGGTAACTCATTTATACTCCCCTACTTGGAAACAATATTTGATCAGAAATGGTGAAATTGTTGGGGGAAGGGCTTCTATAGATGCTTTCTGACCTGTCTAAAAGAAAGAGCTAGCTCTAGATGCAAAGTTCATGAAGGGGATAAAAGGGAACTTTACCCACTTTTACGACAGGGTTCTCATCTGTATTTCATCTATACTGCAAATGCAAAAAAAGCATCAAGTCTTTTCCATAAGGCTCAGTGCTCAGTCAACTGATATTTCCCATTTGCACAGGGCATGTATTATTGGCTTTGCTCCCATGGCTCTACCTACTTAAAAGATGCTGGGACTTCTGTGCGGTTTTTCTCATGTGGGAGAAAGTCTGCCTAATGGCAACACCTGCCTCCCATCTCCACACTCCCTCCAGAGGAAAGGAGAGCATCTTCTTCAAATGGCAGACTTCCCTGTAGCACAATTAGCCTTAAGTGTCTGGAACTTCTGCCACCAAGAATGGTCATTTACCAAAGCAGCCTCTTATAGGGACCCTGTGGTCAGGGCTGGATGGGGGTGATGTCAAATATGCATCTACGGAGAGGAGTTTTTCCAAGGATCCAGCCAACCGTGGGGCAGAACTTTAGGGAATGCTACCTCAGCCCACTTATTCTTTGCAGGGGCCCCAAAGCTCCAAAATAAATGGGTTTCGGGTCAACAGACAAGGATTAGGAACTTTGCCTGGAGGAAAAGGTGTGACTGGGCACAAGAAGGGAAAATGCTGACGGAGGCAAAGGACGAGACTCTCTGGCACCAGCCAAGAGGTGTCTCAGCCTGAACCCCTACCCCAGACAAAGACAATGTGATTCCCTTATTCCAGAACTTGGGTCATGACTGCTCAGGGTCTTGCCCCATGTGGTTGGGCTTTTGTCTCTTAGGACTAGGATAGGGACCTGCCGCGCTGTTGGAAAAAGTAAGGGGAAAGAAGAAAATTATCCACTCTTCTTCCTAGTTCTATTCCTGGGATTCTTCAAAACAGCCACATTTTTTTTGTGGGTAAAACAAAAGGCATGGGCAAGGCTCAAGGATTTTAATAGGCCCTGAAATCAGAAGGCACATTCATGGAAAATTCCCACCAGGATGCCAGGGTGGGCGCAGCGCCTGCAGGCGATGGGATGTTGGCCTTAGCAGGCTCCCATCACCCTCCAGAGGTAGCTGTCAACATCTGGACTTGGAGCTGGGGCCAGACATAGGGGTGGGAGCTTGGTCCAGGATGACTCAGCTCTCTTGGGACATGCTCCATCCAAGATGGCTCCAGCAGGCATATTCCAAAATGCATCTTCCCTATCATAACCCTGATGTCGGATTCCTTCCGGCCACTAGCTCAGCAAAAACCAGTGGCTGGCTCAGAGTTGCAGTGCTCAAAACCCTCCTCAAGCCTCATTGCCTTACCGCCCCATTAGCGGGGACTTCCACAGGAGGGTAGAATTCATTTGGCTGACCAAGAAAAACTACTTCCTGAGCAGCCTGTTTGATAACCCCTCAGCATAGCTAAATGAGGTCTCAAAAAAAAACCCCAACCCTCAGTTGGTTTAGAAGATCAATCTCTACTCATTGGGACACACCGGGCCTCCAGCCTAAGCAATGCTGAGGAACTTAAGTGCAGTTTAATATGTACTCTGCTTCCCCTGCAAGGAAGGAAGAGATTTATAATATAAATAGGGGAGAGGAGGCTTTGCCTCATTTAGGCTCTTTGGAAGACTGATGGCCAATTTGGAAGACTGTGGACAGAGAAACAAAGCCAGCACTCCACTTAGTCAGAGAAGCACCACTATCGAGTTTTAGGCGGCATTATTATGGATTAGCATAAGGAAAGGAAACTTTTACCTCCACTCCCAACTTCTCATAATAAAGAATAATAATTGTGGAAGCAGCTAATATTTATGAAACATATATTCATGTCAGGCTGTCTGTGCTAAGCCCTCAGCGATTTTCTCATTTAATCCTCACACCATCACCTTGGAGAGTAACACCCATTTTGCAAGGAAGAAATGAAGAACAAAGGGTCATAATGCGGCTAAGTGATTACGGCATGATACGAACCCGACAGCAAAGGCTCCAGAGCCTGCCACCTCAACCCCACAGTCCTGACTTACAGTAACGTCTGGGTATTCACGTGAAGGCAGGGAAGCCCCGATCACTTTCACTGCCAAGAACTCTATTGGTCTTCCCCAGTCTGCCACCAGCCCTCTCAGGGAGCCTCATCAAGCCATTCGCGGGGCTCTTAACCAAACCAGCAGGGAAATGAAACCAGACAGGGGTTACATTAGATTGCGCCCCCCACCGCCCCGTTGAGGGAATTCTCACTGTGCAGAGTGGAGGCTGGCGGCAGAGGTGGGGGGGTGTTGAAATCTGTCATTACAGGAAGGCCCAGAGCTCAAGTTACCTTGGCTTCCAATTCAGTTTTCTTTACCATCCCTTCTGTCACCTCATACACCGCTGCTTTACTAAGTGTGTTCATTTTTAGTTTTAGTTTTTTTTTTTAAAGTCTCACTTGTAGGATCTCACCACAAAGCAGTCTCTTAAAGGAAGTCCTGACATGGGAGGGAATTCCCTCTCCTCTCTCCTACAAAGCTGAACTTAAGGGTCCCTAGGGCACATTCTCAGATGGGGCTTTCTGTTCCAGGTCTGTGGGGAAGGGAGGGAGGGGCCTGAGTAAGAGGGAGCCAGAAGCCAGTCCTAGAATACTGAATCAGCAGGATATCGCAAAGCCCAGAGCACATAACACTCCTGTCTTTGCCACTTGGCGGTCCGTGGTCTGTGGCCTGTGTACCTGTGGGAGGGGCTGAGCGTCAGGATGCAGACCTTACAAGGTGGGCAGGCTGAAAAGAATCAAGGGGTGTGTTAAAGGTCCACGCCACCCACCCACCTCTTCCCCTTGACTTACCCTGGGAAGAGGAGTTGGGAAATACTTGGAAAACCTGACAGCTGTGCTTTCACACCTAGAGGTCAACACATGACAGACTGGTGAGAGGCTCGGAATGAATGGGCCATTTCTGCACTGCTCCATTCAGTCTCGGCAGGTCCTCCCAGGAAAAGGGTTGTTTAACCCTTTTATCAGTTCAGAAGACAAGGTTTCTAGGCTGCCAGGGATCCCGCCCCCCACTACCACTTGGTTCTTTGTGACAACAGCCCAGTTTAGTTAATTAAACTCCAGCCAAATAATGACTTACTGCTTCAAAAAGACTTTAAAAGGTGTTTTGGGGGTGGTGGTGGTGAGGAAAGCCAGGGACCTGCCTTCCCTACACCCCACTGAGGAAAACCATCTCTGCATCTCTGCAGAGAACAAAGCATTGATGCAGCGGGATTTGTCAGAGAATCCTTGCTGCTCCCCCACCCCTCTCCAGCACCAGCACTACGGAGCTCACCTCTGGCTGTAATCCGTTAGAGATCACAAAAGAAAGCAGCTGCTTCTCATCCCTTTGTCCCATTACCAGCTAGCAGTTCCCAACCCTCTCCTCTTACTCATCCACAGCCAGTCAGCTGAGCGCCAAAGCCCCAGCACAAGCACTAGCGGGAGGGGTCTTGCTGTACTTGGCTCTGGGCTGTTCTACCTGGCTTTAAATGTTGGTTTCTTTCATTGGTTATCTGCTCAGATCCCCTTAAAGAGATACTAGAAATCACAGTTTGGGAACTCCTGGCCCACATCAAAGTTTGGAGGGGCCCCGCTCACTGACACCAAGATAATTTGTCTCACCACCCTCCACCAGAGATTTCTAAGAGATTCTAATAATAGATTCCTAATAATAGATTTTAGTTTACTCCTGGGATGGGGCAGGAGATGACTGCCCCCTTCTCCCAACCAGAAAAAGAAAGACTACCGGACAAGGGAAGCCACTCTTCTGCAAATGGCCACCTGCCCCAGAAGGGCCTCTTCCCTTCTCCACTAGATCCAGCACATCTGTGCTCCCTCCCCAGTGCCCTTGCTTCCTCCACTGACTGTCCTTGGAAAGAACAATCACTATTACAGCTGAATGGTGGAGCCTCTTAAGTCCAGCCACATGTCCCGGGATACATTGCCAGCCTTGTCAGCTGTCCGGATCCGCAGGGTGGCCCCAGTCCCCTGAGAGCCAAGAATACCCCCTATTCTAACCTCATGCAGCTCCGGTGTGGGAAGTGGCTCCCTTAGAACCAGGTCCTCATTGAGGTGCCCAGCCTGGCCCCCTTGGGAAGTTTCTTTCCTTCGCCCCTCCCCGACACTGCAGATGGAGAGACTAAGGCCCAAGCTTAGCAGGTTTCCTAGCTACTCATCTGCTCTGACCTGGCCCCTAGCTTGGTCTGAAAGGAGTCATAGTTTTCTGTATGTTGCTCTTCATCACCTTCTTCCTCTGGCTCTTTTGAAAGACCAAAAATATATTCCAACAGGTCACTGCTTTCCCTTCTATCAGGGAGATCCAGGTTTGCCCTGAGATGGAACCTTTCCACTCTTGCCATTTGCCCTTTCCTTAAGAACACTTTCATATCTACATCCCAAATCCAAATTTTTCAACTGTGTCCCTAAATCCAGCTTTGTGCAAGACTCCTTGAAGTTGTCCTCACAAGGGAACTTCTAACTCCGAAGCGACAACGTGACAGGCACTCTGGAGTCAGAACCAGATTAAATGCCTTAACGCTCTTAAGAACACTGAACTTCTCTGGCTAAAGAAAGGGGGCTCCTTTCCAAACCTCCTTGGTACAAACATCTGGGTCCTACCCAAGAGGATGGCCTGAGGAAAGAAAAATGCTTGTGGGGCCCCCACATTTGGGGCTAGATGTCACACCAAGGGGCTAGCATCAGGAATTGGATGCGAAGTCCCCATGTGTTATCCCAAAGTATCAAACCGCAGAGCAGTACCCCTTCAAGGGCCACTTCTGAAGGTGTTAATGAGTGTTTTTTCCTCCCTTTATTTTTAAATCACTCACTTTCAAATTTTGCTTTGAAAGGCTGCCTTCATTTGTTATTCAAGTCAGCCACACCTCTGGGTAAAGACTAAGTCAGTCAGGTTTCCCAGAGTGGGAGTGGGGTGGGTGGGTGGGGATGGAGATGGAGGAGTGATTAAATATGCTGGACAGAGGGTGGAATACCTATTCTGGAAGGATTAAAACAAAAATGGCATCTGTAAGCTCCAAATGATCACCAGTTTCTGTCCTGCTTAGCCAGGAATCATTCTAGTCTATGTGTTCGGTCTCCTCCCACCAAGCCTAACCAAAGCTTTAAGGAAATGTTGTCATTTCAAAATGATGGTAATCTGGAAAAGGTCGTGGGAATGAGGAGGATTTCCACTCCACAAAAAGAGGAATGACTCCTGGGTTCAGAATCTAAAAAAGGAAAATAAGAGATGTTTTATGAAAGTTTTCCTCACCCTAACTGACCAACATTTGTCCGTCATGGATATTTCAGAAATATGCCATCAAAATGCCTCCTACCAGGCACTGGCCAAACGTAGCATCTCAGTTGGTCATTGTGTGCACTGCTCACATTAATGGATTTACCTGAAGCCTGCTGGCAAGTGAGGTTGCTCCCAAGGGCTGGCAAAGAGAGGAAAGTGGATTTCACACTGGACAAGTCTACATCTTTCCCACCCTTCTGCTGAAACAGAGCTAAAGGAGTCAACTGCAGCCTTCCCTTTCCTCGTCCACCCCACAACCACAGACTAAAGGAAAAAAAACTGAACAATTCAGACGTTTATGCTCCATTCATGTGAAGATCCAGAGAACTCTAAACATTGTGAAATCACTAGTGCAATATTGGGTAGGGCCGCAGGCCAGACTGAGCTTATTAAGAGATTGATAAGGCCGTATTTCCTAAATGCTCTAGGCCTTCACCTTCCAGCTTTGTATGCCCGAGAGTCTTGTCAGAAAGATTGGAGCGCCTTGGTCAGCTAATGAGACAGGCATGCACTTGCTCCTGCCCCTCCCCAAACGGGAGAGAATCACACCACTCATTTGGAGGCCAGAAAGGGGGGGTTCCCACTGGATCTGGGCACCCCACTGAACCCACACCTTTCCTTTCAACGCTAACCATGCTTGGGGGTTCCCAGAGACTCAGTGCGCCAGAACGCAGCCTCCTGCCCTCACCCAGCCTTGGCAACATGGACGCCCATCCAGCAGCTGGTGAATGAGGCAGCCAGCAGCTCTCCCCTCTAATCACCACCATACAGCCCCACCGGCCCAGTTTGCTTCTCTGGCTGTCGCTCAGCCGTCAAGCCATGCAACCATTTTCGTCTCTCTTGCCTTCTCTGCCCACAACCCCCAGCCCCAATCAAAGAGAATTGAGAAATCGTCTTCTTGCACAAGAGCAGCTACTGTCTAAATGTTTTTTGATCGTCTGCATGGAGGGGGAACTGGGCACAGCCCTGGCCCCAGTGATGAAGCCAAGCTCAGCTGCCCTGGCTGCCCAAACCCGCTTTTGCCCCCCTTCTTTGCCCCTTTGGTCTTGGAGATTCAGAATTTTCAGAACGTACCGTCTCTCTATTTCTCTCTTCTCGGTGATGTCAACCTGGTACCACCAAGAAGGAGGGAAAGCGGGAACCTTATCTCTCCTACGCATGCAACCTCTTTCTCCAGCTCCCACACGCCTGGCGTTATGTAAACGCACCTTCAGCCCCCACCACAGCCCCAGCGCGGCCGGGCCCCGGCGCCCGGCACAGCTCGGTGCCCGGAGAAGGGAGGCACGAGGAGCCCGAGGGGCCTCTGGCCCTGCAGAGGCCCGGGAAGGGAAAGACAACTGCAAGGCATGCACAGCATAAAATGCAGCAACAGATCAAAGGTCAGACGGCGAGGAACGCCTCGCCAAAGACAGTGAGCAGAAATGCCCAGTCCTGAGCCATCTCGGTGCTGACCATCGAGGAGGAGGCAGAAGGGTAGAAAACCCAGTCCGTCACGGCTCCAAAGGGAAAAGAAAAACCTACGTCGAGCATAGGCCGCTGCAGTGGGCTGGGGAGATCTGGGCAGAGCTGGCACCGTGGGCACGGAGCCCGGGGTGGGCAAGCCGCCCAGGGCAAAAGCGCCCGCCGGACCCAAGAGGTGGCTCCTGACCGAGCCTAGAGCCTCCCATTCCAACGCTCGAGGCGGGTGGTGGCAAGAGGAAAGGAACCAGGCCAGAAGCAAACTCCCGGGACACGCACGGGGCTTCCTGAGTCGCAGAGTGGGGAAGTCGGGCTTGGCAGTGCCCCGGGGTCGGAAACTCTGGTGCCAGGCTGTGAACACCCCCGGCGCCGTGCCGGCCCAGCCGAGGGCGTCAGGGAGCTGCGGCACACCGCAGCGGCTCGAGGAGGCGCAGGGAGAGGGAAGGAACACTGAGGCGCGCTTAGAAATAGCGCACCATTTGCCCCAGCCGGAGGGGGAGTCGTGTCGCGACTCAGAGGGGGTACTTTCGGATCCCGAAACCGGCCAGGGACTTACTTTGAAGAGCCGCAGAACCACAAGCATTGCTCCACGCCTGGGTAAATCCCCGAACCCGGGCGGGTCAGACGCCGCTGTTCACGCAGACGTCGGCGGGAGAAACCGATAGGACTCCTTGCGCACCGCAGGGCCAGCTCCGCGCTGTCAGCTCCTCTCGCTGCCTCCGCGGCGGTGTTGCAACCACTGCCTGGGAAAATGGCTTTTTTATGAATGGGAGGGAAGGGAGCTCCAGTGCGCACGCGCTCCGTTCACGATTCTATGAATGGGTGGGCACAAGAGACCCCGCGCGCGCATGCGCCGAGCTCCTTTTTTTATGAATGGGGGGCCGGAAAAGAACTTAACCCCTGGTTGCTGGGGCTGACTCTAGCTCCTCCAGAGGCCGTCGTTCTTTTACAAAAAGGGGTGGAGGTTGTTGTTGTCTTTTTTTTTTTTTAATGAATGGAGGGCGGCGGCGACTGCTGCAGCTGGCTCAGCTGCGCGGGCTGTACCCCCTCCCAGCCTGCGAGAGGAGGTAAAGGCCACCTTCACGCCACTGCGGGCCTGGGCAGAAACCGTCAGTGTCGTTGGGGGGCGGGGGGCACTGCAGCCTCTGAATCCTGGGTCGAGTGCTGGGTGGGGAGGACTCACCTAGATCTAGGGATCTCGACCCGCCGCAGGGGTGGGGGGCGGGGCGGGAGACGGGAAGACCCTTGCGGGGGGCCTTATCTTTCTCTAAGGCTAGGGGCGTCGCGGGGAGGGGTCTTGAAGCTGCGCTTACCAAAAATTAAGAAAATGTCAAATGTCCATAGCAAGGAAAGGCATTGTGGGGGTTGCTTGAATGAATCTGGTTCCATTCCTAAGACTGATTATTCCTTGAGTGAGTACAGACCACCCCACCCCCACTCCACCATTTCTTGGGTGTGGACAGCGATGGGGCCTAGGCCTCTTCCATCTCCAGTAGCCCCTGTCCCCGGGCCGACGCTGGCACCTCAGCTAGAGGCCGGGCTCTAGCCTCACAGCGCCGCTTACCCCCCGCCATACCCCAGTGTGATGTCCTCAGTGCCTTGGCCCCTGCCCGCCCTAGGCTGCCCAGACTAGCTGCTCCCCTCTGCACCCCTTTGCATTTCCCAACTCTCACGGGACGCGGGGCTGAGGAGCCTCTGTCCACCGAAGGCCACGGCCCTTTGCTGAATGGGAGCCTATCCCCACTCACCCCCATCAGCTATCCTCCGGGGAAGCGGGAAATGCCCAGAATTAGCCAGGTGGATGGGTGGAGCCGGCCTAGCAGAGGATGCTGCGGGAGTGGCTTTAGGATTAAATAACAACAGGGTTCTGGAGCCGCAGAGGAAATGGAAATGGCCAGGGATCCTTTCTTTGCAGTTAATAATGCTGTGTGGGGTGGGGGGTATCGCATCAGCTCAGGCTGTTGAAAAGAAAAGCCCCCGCCATTAGGCCTGACTCGGGGAAGGCTGGGAGCCTTCACAACAGCAGCAGGCCCAGCTCCGCCCAGGAACGGAGGAGACTGTAGCCTGGGAGGGGAGGGGGGGGCGGAGGGGGGCAGGGGGGATGTGGATGGCTTTGATGCCTGAATAAGAGCTAGGCCAGGGCCTGAATCCCCGGTAAGTTTGTCTTGCTGGTGTTCTGGCTTGACGGCGAGGTTGTGAGCTGTCTTTTTCTTTCTACACCACGGAAGGACTGCGCTTGGCTGCCGAGGAGCCAATGAAAGGCTTCCAGTTCAGGTTACAGGTCTGGCCTTGGGCTGGAGCTGGGTCTGGGGCTCTGGAGATGGGCCGTGAAGGGACATTTTGCAAACCCAGACCAGGACTCAGGGTCACAGAGTCTCAGTCTAAAATGTCTTCTTGCTACTCAGAGGTATTTTTGCAATGTGATTTACTTACTTAGCTCTTGGGGGCAGAACCCCCCCTCCCCTAGAGGACCACAGTCTTTCAAGGCTAAGACCTTAACTTAAAGCCAAAAGAAAAACTCTTTACTAGTACAGTTGTTCAGGATGACCTTTGCTGGTCTCATCATTCCCATTTGTCAGAGGTAGAAGGAAATTGAGGGCAAGAGTCCCATACCTGCTCAATGGAAGATCTAGTAAATGTAGAGCTGATTTTCCAGATCTTTGCAACCTAACTCTCTCCTTTGCTACCACCCCTTCTTGGCATCACAAACACAAAACCTGTTTTTTTGTTAAGTCATTTAAGCACATTAAACAAGGGAAGTTGGAGTAGTAATTTTGCAGCCAGTGCTCACTCTGGGACTTGCTTGAACAATTAAAAGGATGGCAGTAAATACATCCTTCCTAAACTATCAAAGGAAAGCAAGATGGTGGTGGTAGTGTGTGTTTGCTCTCCTGTGTCCTTTATTTAGAGGAATTAGCCAAGAGACATATGGGGTTCCATTCCTGGTCTTTTCTCAGCTTTACTGAAGGATGAGATGAAGACACCACAGGCCTGGTGATATGGTGGAGAGAATGGAGGAGCCCCCAGGCCTGGGCTGGGCAGAGCCCCTGATTTGTAAGCAGAGTGTGATTCAGAGTGTCTGGGAGGTAAGTGAGGATTATATTCTGCCTCTACTTGGAACCTAAAGAGAGGTTTGGAGCAAGTGTTATGAGAAGTGTGTGCCTGTGTTCATTCATGCATGCATGCATTCACATATTCTGTTAGAAGCCTGCCCTGACTCTGGGGACTCAGTGGTGAGAGACAGACCGTGTTGCCTGCCCTTGTGAAGCTCACCATCTTTTGAGGAGACAGACAGACCTCGCAATTTGAGGCTGTGCTAAGTGCTGGGAGGGGGTCTGTGTCGAGACCTGAAATCTGAGAAGCTGTGAGCCTGAGGGAGGTTGAGGAGACAGGTGGGGCTGAGGGAGCCTGGGTGGAAGCCCTGTGTGGGAAAGGCCTGACGTGGAAGTGCTGATGGTAGGCCTCTGCGGCCACAGCTTGGCAAACAAGGTGGAAGTTGGCCTGGTGAGGAGTTCAGATATTAACCTCTCAAGGGTTTCAAGCAGCGTCATGACACATTCTGGTTTGTGTTCTAAACCTCTGCAGCAGCCCAGAGGCTGGTGGCTGTGGGTGAGGGGACAGAGTGACAGGGGAATGCAGGTTGTTTGCTCCTGACAGGCTGACGGTGCCATATTTGTTCTTTTGGATTGGGTGGCCAGTAGGCCTGTGCTTTTTTTTCTCTTCTACTTCATCTGACTTTGTTTACTCCTAAGGGGCTGTCTCCTGCCCAGGTATAACTTTTATGCCAGAGGCAGATCCTAACGGCCCTGTGTTCCTGCTTGTGCTAATTACAGTCCTCTCACCCCAGTTTCAATGTAAACATCTTCACTCCTACCAGATCATGGCCCGGGGAGGCAAGGGGGTTCACTTCTGGGCTTGGCCCTCTTGTTAAGCCCCTGGCCTTGCCAAGACCTGGAAGCTGAGTTAGTGGGTGTCAGGAGAGGCAGGAATTCCAACTGAATGACAGACATTCATGGAACACTTACTGTGTGCCATGCCTGTGCTCAGCATGTTTTCATATGGACTGTTGCTTTAAAAAGCTGTGTTCTGGGTCTTACTCTCCCTCTTTGTCAAATAAGAAATCAGAGGCTATGTTTTAATTATTTAATTCCACCAAAAATTATTATGCACTTCCTGTGAGTCAGGCACAGTGCCAGGTGTTGGGGTTATAGTGATAAAAGAGAGACCAATTTTTGCCTTTATAGAGCTCTCAGTCAGTGGTAAGGGGGCCAGGGCAGGGTGGGGGCAGGGTGTGCTTTCCCCTATAATCTTCATCAGCGCCCTCATTCATTTCTTTGTTCACTTGACATTTCTCAACCTTATTGCACATACTAAGCACTGGAAGCCAAGCCCTTCAACCCAAACAGATCACCTGCCTCCCCCGTAGTCAAGTAGGGGACATAAGACATTAAACAAACCATTGATCGAAGACTGATTTAATTACAGTTAACATCAGTGATGCGATAGAGAGTGCAGAGAGCAAAGTAGGGGGACACAGCCTAGGGGCTCTGAAGAAGCTTCCCTGCAGCTCAGATCTGCAGAATGCAGTCTCTGCCAAGCTGGGCTCAGTGGCAGAAGGCTCAGAAGCGGAAAGAAGTCTCAAGGACTATTAGAGCAACTGAAGGTAGCTCCGGGTACCCTAGTCCTTTGAGGAAGGGAGGGTATGTCAGGCCTGAGTTAGAGCTCTGTTCTGGCCCTAGCTCCTGGGCTTTCTGGCTCAGTGTGTTCATTTGTTTCAGCTTTGAAGCCTGGAGACCATGAAAGACAGATGTGCAGACACTGACCACAGACTGCTGAGTTCAGTCCTACCCTTACAAGCTCCATAGCCTTGGACAAGTGATCCAAACTTTATGTGCCTCAGTTTCCTCCTCTGCAATCTGAAAACTAATAGTAGTACTTACCGCAGAGGGTTGAGTGGTAATTGAATGGAAAAATGTACATAAAGCACTTAGAACAGCATCTGGCAAATTGTAAATGCCAAATATGCATTTAGGTGATTATTCAAAATACCCGGCCATTTTGATGCAAGGAATGAGTTAGAGTTTTAAGAGGAGTCTATTTATGTGGGTGTATCAAAACCTCAGAAAGAGAAAAATAAACTGTAAACAAGGTTTTCATTGTAAATAAACAGTTAAAACAATACTGTAGCTGTAATCACTGCTTTAACTAGTACAATTTTGCAGGACGAAAGTTACGGTATTTTCAGCTGTGTGGCTGGGTATCCTAGACAGTTGACCCAGGAGTTGATTTTAACCATGGCCAATATAGATGCTTGAATTTCAGCCGTAGTGCACGTGTGATAGAAGGCTGAATGTATGCTAAATGATGATTCTGTTGTATCAAGCACTTGGTGACTTTGCATTTCTTAATCTTTTCAAGCCTCTATTGTAAAAAAGGGGATGATAGTTATAGTATCTGCTTCAGAGAGTTGTGAGCACTAAATGTGATGTTTTCCAAGTAACTTAGCTTAGAACCAAGTGCACGTTTTTGTGGTCCTCAAATTAATCTGTGTAACAGGAATATTTTAAAGATTTTAACTTGGTTGTGATAATACAGCTCTCTAGCTTCCTTTGCCCCATTTTTTCTCCAAGATCCTTGGTTTTCACTGTTTGCTGAGCAGGGCAGTGGAATGGTATGAAAAAGAAGCATTCCAGAAGACCTCACGTAATTCAAGAACAATTTCC